CATGGACAGGACACCCTTCCCATCTCTTCCACTCCAACAGTTATAAAGTCTAAACAGGGTTATAGCACAGTTTTCCCTAATTGATCATGCTGGAGGTTGTAAATGTCAATTCGATAATGTTTAACTATGCACCAATTGCTTTTTCCACCTAAAGCAAGGTTTTCATAGACCACTCACTAAACTACATAAGGTAAAAGATTTACCTAAAAACTTATAAAACACAATATGTACATGGGTAATATTAACATTACATTATGTGTATAATTTAGGTTCCATGTTCTTTTAATAAGATGATGCTACACATCCTAAGTCAAATAACTGCGTTCTTCATGACTTCAGCTGTGTCTACTTACTAAAAATTATCACAGCTGGGGTCTGGTGACAGTTATGTTCCTTCATTAAAGGAGGGGTAAGCAGGATCATTGGACCCTCACCTGAGTATTCAGCCATTCTTCTCTGTCACCTGTATGTAATTCTGCCCTAATTGCAAATGATCTACTTTTGAAAAGGACTATAGTATGTAATCTTGGGAAGGCAAATGCTGTGAAGAGAGGGTTTGACCCATGAGGTTATAAAAAAGTCAACATCCATGCTGGGTAAGGGCTTTCCAGTGCAAATATTCTCAGGTCACTCATAGACCTCAGCAACCCCTCAGTCATCTCTGTAAGTAAGCTCACTGAATTCGTTAGTTCCCCAGGAAAACTTTAATGTAATCAAACATTGGTTTAATACTAAAACCTTAGAAGGGGCTAAGTCTCACTTAGTATCCCCAGGTAAGGGCATAGTTTAGTCAACTAGTTTAAGGATGTCTAGTAAAAGTTTATCTAAAAATGGGTTTCACCCATGCTTTATCCACATAACATAATAGGTAAAAGTACCAGATTGGTGTAACTAACCTTCTTGGGTGTTTAATAGCTAGACATTGGGGCCTATACCAATCTGGTCAGAGGGACGTAATGGGACAGTTTTTGTTCCTTGCCCTCCTAGGTCAACTAAGCTCCAGGAGACTATGGAGCATCTCTCAAAATGTCCTGTAACTTTGGTGAGTCACCTGTTCTCTTGTTCAGGGAGGCCATGGAGACCCCAGAAGATGGACTTGAACCAGTGTCCAGTCTGCAAAGAGGAGGGTCAACACAAAGGAAACATTTCCTCCAAGCTTTCAAGCGAAGCCCCAGTCAAGCAGGACCTTTTGACTTATCTTCACATAGATGGAACTGGTAAAAGAAAAGCCTGAGGAGCCAGGGGCTCCCCCCAAGCCCATGTGACCCCTGAGGTCCAAATCCTCATACAACCTTTAGAGTAAAAATAAATTGGTTTATTTGGGCCAACAGTATGGCCTTAAACACCCAAAAGGAAAGTATAACCAAAAATTAAAGTCATCGGTATATTTTAAGAGTTCAAGGGATTACACAATCCAGACATTAGATGTAAGTTCTTATGTTATTTAGACAATTATCTCTCATTGATGACTTTGTTCCTAATAAGACATTACTCAGATGTAAGGCTTCAAATCTTGGTCTACAATACTGTAGTGTCCACTTAGAGCTAAGGGAGGCAACCCACTATTGTTCTAGCCTAAAAAAATAAAATGATGGCTAAATTTGTTTTCTCTCCCTATCTAGAAGCCTAGGGGTAACTGACACTGATTCTAGCCCCTCCAACAGCTATCAAAATACCTGAAAACAAATCCTGAGTCCATCACTCTCAAGTTCAGCCCTGGCAGAAGAAAAAAAAAAAAAAAAAGGGGGCTATTACCCTGGGGCTAACCATTGCCCCTGGCCTCTTCAGATATTTTCAGGCCCAACTCCAAAAACTGACTCTTACTAATTTTAATCAGTTGTTACTTTCCTTCCCTCCACATGTACACAAGCGCCTGTCAACCATCGAGGACCCTGTTGAGATGCATGAAGAGGGAACCCCCACTGTCTGACCGAACCCTAATCCAGGCCCCCCCCCATGTCGGCCCTGTCTAGCAGGAAGTGGCTAGACGACAATGATGCCCCCTAGCCTATAACACAAAGGCTGGAATGTTAAGGTTCAGTTAGCCCTACTCCCTCACCAAGAGGGTCCCAAGGACTTCTGAGAAAAGGGAACCTAGCTGATAAGCACCTTGGTCTTTGAAGTCAAGAGAAGCAGACTTTTCTCCACTGTTTGGTCAACACAGCAGGCTTCCCCTTTGATCTCTAAAGAGGACAGGTTTTAACAGTCCTGCTCTCCCCCTCCCCCCCACCCTCCAACTTAAAAAAAAAAAAGTCTTCCTGCCTTCTGCAGGAAGCAGAAGCCTCCCTTTTAAAAAGACCCCAGCTCAAGACCCAGGCAGACATTTTCCCTGCCCGGAAGGGAATCTGCCCCATGTGTTCCTTTACTAATAAACCCTATTTTGATGGAGTTTTAGCTGTGCCTCGGTGCCTCATCATCCATTCGCTCCTTCTCTGCCAACTTTTTACCTATCACACACGTGTCCCAGCACTCGGGAGGCTGAAGCAGGAGAAAACTTTTTTTTTAAAGAAATAATGTTTTATTTATTTATTTGGTCTTATTGAGACAGGGTCTCCCTGTAGCCACAGCTGACCTGGATTCTCTGTGGAGACCAGGCTGGCCTCAGCTCACAGAGATCCACCTGCCTCTGCCTCCCAAGTGCAGGGATTAAATGCGTGAGCCACTACACCCTGGCTAATGTATTTTATTTGTAAAACTGTGTGTGTGCTCCTGTAGATTTGTGCATGTGACAGCAGTGCTGGAGTTCCAGGCTGCTATGAGCCACCTGAATGCCTGATGTGGGTGCTGGGAATCAAACTCAGGTGGTCTGGAAGAGCAGTATGTGCCCTTAGCCATCTCTTCAGCCCCCTCAAAACCCTTTTTATTTTAAAAATATTCTGTATTACTTTTTTTATGTGTATGAGTATTTATGTGTGTTACCTGTGTGTAAGTGCATCTGTGCTATGCAATGCCTGTGGAGGTCAGAAGAGGGAGTTGGGCCTCTTGAACTGGAGTTAAAGATGTTACCTGCCATGTAGGTGCTGGAAACTGAACCTGGGTCCTCTGCAAAAGCAGTCAGTGCTCTTAACCACAGAGCCATCTTGCGAGCCCTCAAAACCTTTTTTAAAAAGGTCTTACTCTGCCAGGCGTAGTGGCGCACGGCCTTTAATCCCAGCACTCGGGAGGCAGAGGCAGGCGGATCTCTGTGAGTTCAAGGCCAGCCTGGTCTACATAGTGAGTTCCAGGACAGCTGGAGCTACAGGGAGATGGGGCTGGAGAGATGGCTCAGCAGTTAAGAACACTGACTGTCCTTGCAGAAGACCTGGGTTCAAATCCCAGCACCCATGACTCGTTCCAGGGGATCCGACAGCCTCTTCTGTCCTCCGTGGGCACTGCACAACACGGGTGCACTTACCTACATGCAGGCATAACAATCATACACATTAGATAAAAATATTTTTTTAAGAAAAAAAGGGTCTTACTTTGTAGCCCAGGTTGGCCTTGAGCTCTTGGCACTCTTCCTGCCTTTGTCTCCCAAGTGTATGCCAGGCTAACCTGCCTGATCTTGGAAGCACATGTGCTGTTTGAACCTGAATCCATTCTGTGGGCAGCTACTGACCTTCTGAGGCACCCAAAGCTGCCAGGCTAATGTTGCCTCATTTCCCTATCTGCCTCCAGGTGTGTATCATGGTGTGTGAATATGGATATCGGCAAGGGACACAGGAACACGGATGAACCAGAATGTGTGGCCAGGACTTGGTACCCAGTGGCTGATCTGCCTGCAACATCCCCACCTCACTCTAGGCAAGCAGTGTTCTCAATGTCATGTCCTGGTCCCCCCACCCCGAGTGGGTGCCTTTCCATGCTCTTCCACCTTCTCCAATGCACCCCCAGATCTTGTGTCCCTTTAGTTCTGAGTCCCATCCTGCTGCACAGCCAACCCACACCCTCCTTCAATCTTTTTCTTCTTTGAGGTAGAATATCATGTAGCCTAGGCTGTCTCCAAACTTACCATGTAGCACAGGATGTTCCTGAACTGACTCTCTGGTCTCCATCTCCTGAGCCTAGGATAACAGGTGTGCACCGGTTTACCCAGCTTGAGGTTTGTCTGTTTCTTTTGGGTATCTGAGGCTGAAACCCAGGGCCTCCAAGGTGCTAGCCAAATGCTCTGAGTATTTGAAATCCTTGTTATCTTGGCAACCTTACACTTACTGTCCAGGTCTCCCCCGATTATTTTTCAGCCACAAACAATAATGTACCTCTCTGTAGAATATTAAGAGCCAGGCCTTATCATCAGTGGTTCCTTCTGCCTTTAGTGGGTGCAGAACTCCTATACGTCCTTCAAAGCCCCAATCTAGGATAGTTACTCCTTCAGCCCAGCCCTGCCCCTTGGAAGCTGGGGACATCTGTGGGGACCTGAATCCTCCTTGGTATGAGGAGCTGATAGGGCAGAGACCTTGAGGGGGACATGCTTGGGGAGGATGAAACTAAGGGACTGAGAAGGGCAGAGATGGGCAGGTGACTCCTGGGTAACATTGTATGTGTAGGGAGGGAGCCAGAGACCTGGTAGGTCCTTCTGCCTGCCCCCACCCTGCTTCCTCAGTTTCTCCATCATGAGATCTTATGCTCCATAGGATCCCTAGTGCCAGCAGCGGGTCTCAGCTCCACTTCCCCTGGATGCTCTGTAGTCTGGTAAGTATTTCCGATTATCTGACCACTGCCCCCTTTTCATCCAGCCATATTAAGCTAGAGACGCGGCGACGGTGGACGCCGACTGTCCACAGCGGCCATGCCCTTTCCTCGGCCCATGCAGACTGTGGGCCTCTCTCCAGGCTGCTTTCACTCCTTCATGCTCGGCCTAGCTCTCTGCACATAGCCTCAGGCTCAGGGTAGACACTGGTAGAGATGCTGGGAGGCTCAGTCCTGGTACCTTTCTGACCACCCCTGCCTGCTGGACAGGAAGAACAAGTGTCCATGCAGCCCCAACCCCACCACTCACACACCGCACACCGGGCACAGGCCTCATGACAACCCGCCGCCTTTATTGGGCGCTCTGCCGGGCTCTAGGGCGCAAGCACTCGGGGACCCTCTTGGTGATGGAGGCGCAGCCCGGAAGAGCTCGGAGTCTGGAACTCTCAGGAATCCAGGGATCCTGGTGGGGAGGGTGAGCTGGAGGTGGGGTGCAGCCCCTCACTTGGGTGCATTGAAGGGCAGCGCACGCTGGTTCATGGGGTTGTCGGGGGAGCGAAGCCACTCCTTCTTCAGCAGCTGCTTCAGCTGAGACAGCCGCATGTTGGGGTTCTCCTGCTTCAGCCTGGGCAGCTGCACCTCCTCGAAAGCAGTAAAGGCTGCGCGCATGCGCCGCTCGGGGTGTCGGTCTGCCTCCTCCGCCACGCTGGGGAGGACAAACGGTCAGCAGGATGTAGCGGGAAGGGATGGAAGGAGGAGGAGGGAAGGGGAAGGGGAGAGGCCGGCATCTCGAAGGGGTTCCCTATAGGACTTACTCCTTCGTAAAGAACTGCCCGGGGCCCCGCCCCCAGGGCACACCTAGGCCCCGCCCACCTGAGCACCGCGATGGCGTCCTCGATAGAGCGGGCCTCCACGCTGCCCTCCTCCTGCAGCCTGCGGTTCAGGTTCTCCTCCAGCGGCACCTCCAGGTGACTCTTGGCTTTTTCTGCCGGTGCAATGGGGGCGCGGGACATAAGGAAGGCCATTGGGTCCCCTGGGACACCCCCGGGCTCCAACCCACCTGGCTCCTCGCGGTGCTGCTGGTCCCGGCGCAGCGAGTCCTCGATCTGGGCGCGGGTGACCTTGCTGTGCGCAGCCACGCGTGGGGCTTTGCCACCCTTGAGCTTGGAGTCCTCCTCCTCCAGCAGGCGCTGCGTCTCCTTCTTGCGCTCTAGCTGTTCCAGGCGCCGCTTCTCCTTCTCCTCCTGAGAAGGCGACAGGGTCTGGAGAGCTCGCTTGGAACAGGGAACCAGGGAGCCAAGCCTGAGCCGGCCCAGCACAGTGGGCAGGTGCCAAGGCCCTGAGGCATAGCCACAGGAGGAAGAGAAAACCCACTTAACGGCTGGAGTTGAGGGACTACTCAGAGAAGCTGCTGGGTTCCCAACACACATGAAGGGTGTGGAAGGTCTGGACCTGTCTGGTTGGCTGGGTGAGGCCTGTAGAACCTGCCTTGCCATGCTGCGCAGCCAGACACTGGGTGGATAGGGGACCTTGTGACCACTGCTCCCTCCCTATACACCCCAAGGGGCAGCGTGAGGCTCTAGGTTTTCAAGCTGCAGTGCGGTCCTGCCACACCTATCAGACACCTGTGCCTGCCCAGACCGGCACACTCCTATGTATCTCTAGACCGATCTGGACAGCTGAGAGTCCCCATCCACAGCCGCCGGTGGGAAAGTGTCTGCCATCCAATCCAAGGGTGTTTGACGGCAACCATGGGCTCACTCAGGATGGGCCTCGGCAGGGCCACTAAGGTCTGTCTGTTTTCCCCCAAAGCCAGAGGCAGCACCCTCTGCGACTGCTCTGTGCATGCTTGGCACCCAAACCTTAACTCCACCCTGCCCTACAGCCTTTGCACAGGCAACGCCTGCCCAGCCTACCAAAGGGTGGCCACAGTATTAGGAAGACCCCATTTCCCAGTCTTTTTGAGACAGGGTCTCTCTGTAGCCCCAGCTGTCCTGGAACTCGCTTTGTAGACCAGGCTGGCCTCGAACTCAAAGATCCTCCCGCCTCTGCCTCCCAAGTACTAGGATTAAAGGCATGCGCCATCACGCCCGGCATTTCCCAGTCTCCAGTCTTCTAATGACCCCTTTTGTCCTGCGGCAGAAGGCCTGGCCAGGATTGTGGATTCTGCCAGTCCCTCCACCCAAGAACAGGATCAGCTTCCAGAAAGTTCCAAGAAATCAGAGCAGTGGTCGATAGTGTTGAATGAGACATCAAAAATGTCTGGTCACGTTGGCCTGGAGTCCCCGGAGCTTCCGGGGAAGCTGAGGCAGAAGCATCGACACACAGGAGTCTCAGGTCAGCCTAGTTCACAAAGGACCCCAAAACTACAAATAAAACAGGCCTCACTGGCCCAGCAGGGTGAGACCAGCTAAGCTGCAGCGAGTCGCTGGCGCCACCTGGTGAGCGCGGCCTGTCAGCACCTCGCCCACTTCGCTCCACAGACCAGTTATCCTGCGCTCACAGGGGAGTCAGGAGCCAGTAGGACCTGGTTAGAAATGGGGGCGCAATTAGGGCCAGGGACCCAGCACCCACTTCCTCGGCCTCCGCACCGCCTTCTCTACCCAGGGACCGGGTCTAGCCTCTGACGCTGGATACCTCCGTGGCTTCCCGGAGCCGGCATCGACACCTAAGTCCCGGGCGCCCGCACCCACCTTGCGCTGCTCCTTCCGCATCACGTGTTTGTCGTCGTCCTTCCAGTAGGCATCTTCCAGCTCCTTCTGTTTCTTTGCATCAGCCGCCGCCTTGGCCTCAGCCCTCCGTGCCCGGGCCGCTGCCGACTTGCTGTTCTCGCCCTGGAACTTCTTGGGCATCCCTCGGCAGGCTGCGGAGCAGGAGGCGGCCGGGCCTGGAGCCACGCCCACCCTGCCCAGGGCCCGCCCCCGCCTCCCCTCCACTGGAGGCCCTCTCTCTTCTCTTTATGGCTTTTATTTTGGAAGAGGAAACATGAAATGCAAAAATCAAAAATTTTTGAGATAGGGGCTCACTATGTAGACCAGGCTGGCTTCGAACTCAGATCCACGTGCATCCCAAGTGCTGGGATTAAATAAAGGTGCGTGCTACCAGGCCCAGGTCAAAATCAGTAATTACCAAGTGTGCAAATTACTGGTTTGGGTATTTATGAAACAGCGTCTCCCTACATAGCCCAGGCCGGCCTGGCAACGAAATGCTGCCCAACTTTCGGCAGTGGTGGGATCATAAAGGGGCAGCCACATGCTCCTCAAAGTGGGCTTTTCTTTACCATTGGGATATGAACCCAGAGCCTCACATAAGCTAGACAGCTCAGCCCCTCCCTGGGGGATTCTAGACAGGGGTGGGAGAGGAGCAGGTGGGCAGAGGCATGCCCCCAACCCTCACTGGGGGATTCTAGGCAGAGGCTCTACCCCTGAGCCACACCTCCAGTTCTTTACTGGGGGTTCTAGGCAGAGGCTCTACATCTGAGCCATGCCCCTAGACCCTTACTGGGGGATTCCAGGAAGGGACTCCTGCTGAGTTTCATCTGAACTCTTTCAAATCAGTATTTTGTTTTTAGTTTTTTGAGACAGGGTCTCCCTGTGGCCCCAGTTGACCTGGAACTCACTATGTAGACCAGGCTGGCCTTGAACTCAGAGAGATCCACCTGCCTCTGCCTCCCTAGTGCTGGGATTAAAGGCGTGTGTGACCACACCCAGTCAACTCTGTGGTTTTGCTTGTTGGGAACAATTCCTGTCAACACATCACACACAACATGGTCTTCTGTGTCTGGTTGCTGTCACTTAGCATGATGCTATATAGTGTGTGTCAAAGCCTCATTCCTTTTCTTGGATGAGTAATACTCTATGGCAGTATATATTGAGCCTGAGTCCCCTCACCTTGTTCCTAATGGCCTGGGATCTGTGCACCTTGGGGGACACCACAGCAAGGTTGTCCCCCCCTGTAACTTGTCAGACCCACACTGGACACCAGCAAATGACAGGACACACAGGTGTCACTGCCTGGCCCTCAGCCAGGCACTGTGCATATACAGACTCAACTATAAGTCCCCGAACCTCAAGCATAGGGAAGGCAAAGTGCCTGGCTGCTGACAGGAGGCTGAGGCTGGCCTCTGACCCCTAAAGCCTCCTTGAGGTGAATGGGGAGCCTTGCTACCAGAAATGAGGAGCATTCCTCTTCCTTCTTACAGGTACAGTGGTACACACCTGCCATCCAAGCACTTGGGAGTGAGAGGCAGGAGGATCACAAGCTCCAGGCCACCTTGGGCTATACAGACTGTGTCAAAAAAAAAAATAGTAATAATTAAAAACTAATGGTGAGAGCCAGGCATGGTGGTACACGCCTGGAGTCCCAGCACTCGGGAGGCAGAGGCAGGCGGATCTCTGTGAGTTCAAGGCCAGCCTGGTCTACATAGAGAGTTCCAGGATAGCTCAGGTTACAGGGAGACCCTGTCTCAAGACAAAAAGTGGCAGCACACACCTTTAGTCCCAGCACTCAGGAAGCAGAGGCAGGAGGATCTTGTGAGATCAAGGCCAGCCTGGTCTACATAGAGAATTTCAGGGCAGCTGGGAGTACAAGGAAACCCTATCTCAAAAAAAAAAAAAAAAAAAAAAAAAAAAAAAGTGGCTGGAGAGATGGCTCAGCAGTTAAGAGCACTGGCTACTCTTGCAGAGGACCCAGGTTTGGTTCCCAGCAACCACATGATGGCTAACAGCCATTCGTAACTCCAATTCCAGGGGATCCAACACTCTCTTCTGGCCTCTGTAAGCACTGCACACATGGTGCACTAGCATACATGCAGACAGAACACTCATACACATAAATAAAATAAAAACAACAAAATAACAAAACTACCCAAAACAAAAACCCATCTGTTCAAGGACTGCAGCATGCTGAGCCTCAGAATTCCCAACTGTGGTGCCCTCATCTAGAACATTCTTTGCCTTTCCCACATGTCTAGCCTGGTGCTAAAAAATAAGGGCAGCATGGGGTGGCCCAGCACCACCAGGCCAGCAACCCCGTCAGTCCATCTCTGTGTGAGGTTCCCTATCTCTGGACCGCACCGCTCCCTATCCGGACCCTGTGCATCTGCAGCTCAGGCAAGGGTTCTGGGCAGGCCACAGGGCTCGCAAAGGCCCTGTAGCAAGAGTGAAGCTGTGCTATACAGACAATGCCACGCCATGAATGACTGGAGGACGGACTGAAAAAGGACGGCAGGTGGGGAAGGGTATCTTCAGAGACAAGCGCATTTTTATTTAGCTGCCAAAGCCCCTTTTAGGTACCACAGGAGGGAGAGAGGGCTTGGTTGGGTGCTGTGTGCACAGCTGAATGTGGAGCGCCCTTTCCCCTCTCCCCGGAGACACTACACCTGCCTCCTTCTGGGTCTCCAAGCACACCAATCAGCCCTGTGCCTCAGGCCCTTCACACCTGCCCTGCACCAGGATTCTGTCTCCTGCCGTTTTGAGACAAGGTCTCGCTTTACAGTCCAGGCTGGCCGGGAATTCGTTATCTTGCTGAGTCTGCCTCCCAGGTGCTGGGATGACAGGCCTGTGTTACCTTCTACAGTTGAGCCCCAGCAGCCCCTCACTTGCAAACTACTATTTTGCGGGGGTCGACACAGGGTCTCTCTGTAGCTCCAGCTGTCCTGGAACTCACTTTGTAGACCAGACTGACGAACTCACAGTGATCAGCCTGCCTCTGCCTCCCAAAGGTGTGCACCACCACACCCGGGCTTGCAAACTATTATTTAAACTTCAGGGCCCAGCTCAGGCGTTCCCCCCTTGCAGAAGGCTTTCCTAGACCCTCTGATTCTCACCAGACTGTTCTTTCACAAACTGTTCCACCTGTTTGGGTGGATTTGGGGTTAGTTTTTTCTTTTTCCCCAGACAGGTCTTGATACGTCCCCCAGGCTGGCCTGGAATTCACAATCCTCCTGCCTCAGCCTCCTAAATGCTGCGATGAGCAGTCTGGGTTACTACAGTACATTCATTTACACAATTATTTGACAAATTGTTTTCTTCACTGGGTTGGGAGCATAAAAGGGGCCGTGTGCAAAGAAGGCATAGAGCCCGCTCCAAGAACCTGGTTAAGTCAGCACCTCGCCCTTGAAGTTCCCAACCTGCGCAACAATGAGAAAACATTTCTAGGCCAGGCATCGGGGGCGCACGCCTGTGATACGTGGAAAGCTGAGGCAGGAGGATTGCCGAGAGTTCGAAGCCAGCCTGGGCTACACAGTGGGACCATGGGTTCAAAAACTCCCCCTCAAAAAGCAGCCCTGTGATTGCTGGGCAGTGTCGGCGGGAGCCCCAAGACCAGCACAGCCGACGCCGCCTCCTCCGAGAAGCCCTCCCCGCTGGTCCTCGCAGCGGGAATGGGCACGGCGTCCCGCGAGCCTGTCACGCCTGCGCGCCGGAAGTGACCGTCACCAAGCACCCCACGTCCCGTTCCGTCTTCCCGCTGAGGGTACCCCCAGAACCGAGCCGCGCCCACCCGGCTCCGCCCGCGCTACAGCAGCTCCTACCTCTCCTCCCGGTGCCGGCCGGGTCGCGTGTCCAAAGACGTCATCGCGCGCCTGCGCGCTCGGCTACCCGCGCCGTGCCGCGCCACTCTTGACGTTTTTGGTGGCGCCATCTTAATAGAGGCGAAACTGACCAGGCTTAATCCAAGCCAAAGTGATTAACCGTAGTCGCCAGCTTTTCTTACTCATTTTACAAGTAGACTATTTCACAAACTTCCTCGTTCTGCGCTCAATTCAGATAGGGAGGAACAAGGAAGGAATGTAGACGTTACAGTCTACAACGTTGACCTTACCAAGATGACCGCCGCCAGTATAAAAAATGGCGGCGGCGACTTCACACATGGTCCAACGGCAGCTACCTGGACTTAGTCGACCTGCCACCAGGGAACGCACGAGGTCCGTGAGGGAAGTCAGCCTGGCTTTGCAACCCTTTGTGCTGTGAAAACACGGTGCCAGGCCAATAGCTGCTTCCCGCCCAGCAGGCATCCTTTGCACTGTAAAGGCGGGAAAACTGAGGCTCCGAGAGAGTAGATACAGTTTGCCTAAAATGTAACCGAGGGCCAGGCACATGCCTTTAATCCTGCTGAGGCAGAAGTAGGCTGATCTTTGTGAGTTTTAAGCTAGCCTGGTCTATAGTGAGTTTCAGGCCACCTGGGGCAACAGAGAAACCCTGCCCTCACCCCTTCACCCCCCCCCCCAAAAAAAGCAACAACAAAAAAAAACAAATAAAGGCCACTTTCCTCAGGCTGCTGGGCCCTCAGTCACCCAGGACACCTCCCTGTTCCAAAGCCTCCCATGGCTCCCCAGTGCCTTGCAGTACGACCTGCACCCCCGCACCTCCCCAGCCTTGCTCATTTACTGTTAGCTCAGCCCTCTAGCCTCCTTCCCCCCAGTCACCAGGTCTGGTCTGGTCTGGTCCCGCTGTATAAAGGCCACTTTCCTCAGGCTGCTGGGCCCTCAGTCACCCAGGACACCTCCCTGTTCCAAAGCCTCCCATGGCTCCCCAGTGCCTTGCAGTACGACCTGCACCCCCGCACCTCCCCAGCCTTGCTCATTTACTGTTAGCTCAGCCCTCTAGCCTCCTTCCCCCCAGTCACCAGGTCTGGTCTGGTCTGGTCCCGCTGTTTTCGCTTGTGCGGAGATTGTGATAATGGGAACAGGAGTCTGTGCCATTGGGGCGGTGTTTGGCAAGGGGCACAGGGATGCGGGAGGAGCGGGTCCGAGGGTTTATCCCCCGCACACGGAGAAGCCGAGACATGCACTGGGGGCTGCAAGGGCAGATGCACAGCTCCTCGCCCGCAGCAGCCTCAGGACTTTCCTTAAACTCTTGGGGAATTTGACTCACGTCCAACAGGATCTTTGGTGTCTACACGGAAAAGAATTTCAAGATGAGCCAGTCTGACTAAGAGTTGGAGCTAACTACCAAAGAAAGGAAGGGTGGTTGCAGGGAGAGTAAGTTCACCATGGAGCTCGGGTGTGGGGCTCCAAAGAAGGGTTCCAGTTTGTTTGTTTGTTTGTTTGTTTGTTTATTTATTTATTTATTTATTGTTGATTTTTTTTTTTTGGAGACGATCTCCCTATAGCCCCAGCTGGCCTGGAACTCACTATGTAGACCAGGCTAGCCTCGAACTCACAGAGATCCTCCTGCCTCTGCTGGAATTAAAGGGGTGCACCACCACGCCCCGAGGGACTCAGTTTATTAAAGGACATTTTAAGCCTGGCTTGGTGGCACAAGCCTTTAATCCCGGCACTTGGGAGGATTTCTGTGCGTTCAAGGCCAGCCTGGTCTACATAGTGAGTTCCAGGACAGCTGGGGCTACAGGGAGACCCTGTCTCAAAAAGACGAAAAAAAAAAATTACATTTTTTTTATCGTGTTTGTGTATGTGTGTGTGCCCTTGAGCCATACTGCGTGTGCAGGGGTCAGAGGACAACTTGTGGGAGTTCTCTCCTTCCATCCATGTGGGAGTCCTGGGAATGGTACTCAGGCTTTGCAGCAAGTACCCTCTTTTGCTCTTTTCATAAGTAAGATGCTAAGGTGGCTCTGGAGATGCCTTGGACCTCAGATTAATAATCTGGTGAGATGGAGCCAGGAGTCTCTAAGGCTGCACAGGGCTTTAGTGCTTGTCCTTTCCCTATAAATGGGGTTCCTGGTGAGATCCTTAGAAAATGGCAGGTTTGGGGGCTGGAGAGACGGCTCAGTGGTCAAGAACACTGACTGTTCTTGCAGAAGACCCGTGTTTGAATCCCAGCACCCACATGGCAGCTAACTCCAGTTCCAGGGGATCCAACAGCCTCTTCTGTCCTCTGAGGGCAATGCACAACACAGGTGCACTTACTTACATGTAGGCAATACACATAAAATAAAAATAATAAATAAAATATTAAAATAATAATAATAATAATAAACGCTGGTTCTTCTTGCCAAAGACCGAGGTTCGAATCCCAGCACCCACGTGACAGCTAACAACTGTCTGTAACTCCAGTCCCAGGGGATCCGACAACCTCTTCTGACCACTTCTTCTGACCTCTGAGGGCATTGCACGAACGGTGTACTTACCTACATGCAGGCAATACACACATACATATAAAATAATAAAAAAATTTTTTTTTTGTCTTTTTGTGCTGTAGCCCCAGCTGTCCTAAAACTACTATGTAGACCAGGCTGGCCTTGAACTCATAGAGATCCGCCTGCCTCTGCCTCCCAAGTGCTGGGACTAAAGGCGTGTGCTGCCACGCCCGGCTCACAAAATATTTTTTAAAAAAAGAAAATGGCAGGTTTACAGTAGGGAGGGAAAAAGGCTAAGCAGTTGGTGATTTGCTGGAATTATTGCTTCTCTGCAGGTGGGAGGCCTCAACCAGATTCTGGGGTGAGGGAGCTCCTCTTCTTTTTTACCAACCCAAAATTTTCAGGTGCAGTAGGCAGGGCAGGGATAGCTTGTGCCATGTTCCAGGGGCCAAGAACAAACTGGTCACATTTTTCTTTTGTTTATTTTTTATTTTTTTTAGTTATTTTATTTTATTTTTTGAGACAGTGTCTCACTATGTAGTCCTGGCTGGCCTGGATCTCACTATGTAGACCAGGCTAGTCTCAAATTCACAGAGATCTGCCTGTCTCTGCTTTCCAACTGACTGCTGGGATTAAAGGCAAGATCACCACCACACCTAGAGATCCTCCTTCCGCCTCCTCCAGGTTCCCAGGAAGACACACCTGAGCCTGTGTGAAAGAAAAAAATGAAAGTACATTTAAGGGTCAATGATACTATTGTTGTAAGAGAAAAGAAAGGCGTTAACATGATTTGAAGAGATTTTAAAACTTAAGAAAGACAGGACCAGCAGGCAAGATGGCTCAGAGGTAAAGTCACTTGCTGCCTAGCGTGACTAATCTACCTGAGTTCATTCCATTCCCAGGTCCCACATGGTGGAAGAGGGGAACCTCCCCCCAAAAGAAATACCAGCGTGACAGTTCTTAGGTTGTGTCACACTGAGGTTGGATTTCCCTATACTTTTTTTTTTGAGACAGGGTCTTCCTATAGACTCAGCTGGTCCTACCTTAGCCTCCTGAGTGCTGGGATGACAGGCATGAGCCACACTGCCTGGCTCAATCTCAGAGCTTCATGGTCCCTCATCATTGATTTAGGGTTTACTGTAGGCTGCCTGGGCTGCGGAGGGCTCAGTCATAGACCTCCTTGGCTTAGCATGGGCTTCAATGTCAGTCATCACAATACCAGCAGGAGCTGAACCAATCACAAGTCAAAAGAACACTGAGTGTGTGGACCCTCTCGGGCATTAGCCCAGCAGGATGCGGGGCAGGGCAGGGCAGGGCGCCAGGTGTTGTCCCTCCTGATCTCAGCCTGGCTGCTTAGGAGCTGCCCTCACTGCTACAGCCCAGAAACAGATCCAAACTGAAAGTAGCTCGGTGGTTAGAGCATAGGCTCAGCATGATGAGGGTCTAGGTTGGGACTCCAGTACCTTCAAAAGGTGGGGGAGGAGAGGAGAGGGAGGGGCAGTGAGGGGGAAGGAGGCAAACAGGGAGGAGAAGCTCTGTTCATGTTTTAAGCCACCTCCTCTGATATAGCACCTTGGGAAACACCTAGTAGACACCTTCTGTATGCTCCTCCTAGAAGGTACATTTCTCACACACTTGCTTGCCAGATTCATCTGTTCAAAGTCGGGCATCAATCTTATGCATACGGAATACCTTTGCTAAGGTCACGCAACCTCAGTCAGCAAGCCCAGCCCGTCTAGCCAGAGCAAACTGGGTTATCTCACAGTAGGCCCCAGAGACACCCAGGGCCACACTGAAGCTGGAGTGTAGTAAGGAGCCCCCGCCTAGAGTCCCCCAGTGGGGGGCCAGGGGCTTCTCTGGGTTCTTTCCCCAGCTGTGGATAGAAAAGAAAAATCACGACCAATATCTTAGTAGACAATGGTGTCAATTCACCTGAAATGAACCCAAATTTCCAAACAAGCTCCTGGTCCCGAAATGAATGGCCAGATACTCTGTGTGTCAGTGTCACCAAGTCCAGCATCACACCTGGAGCTCCTGGCCATCAGACGGGATCTCCCAAGAGCAGCCTCAGCCAGCCCTGGTCTCTGCCACTTCGAGAATCCAGAATGAAGCCACAGAGGTGGCTGGTGAGAACCAGCTGTGACCTGCCACATTCTTGGAATCTGTGGTTTAAAGATGATACATTTCTTGTTTTTCTTTGTTAGAATTGTAGTAAAACACACATAATAAGATTTATTTTTAAATTGTTTTCATTGTGGTGTTGTTCATTTGTGATTTTTTAAAAATAATTTCTTTTTATTTATGCCTGTGTGCAACTGAGTGCTGGTGCCCACGGAGGTCAGAAAGGGGTGTTGGATCCCCTGGAACTGGAGTTAGGGATGGTTGTTAGCCACCATGTGGGTGCTGGGAATCAAACTCGGTCTTCTGCAGGAGCAGCCAGTGCTCTTAACCACTGAGCCATTTCTCCAGCCTTTGTTTGTGGTTTGGTCTCAAGCTGTCTCCAGGGTGGCCTGGAATTTGCGATGATCCTCCTGCCTCTTCCTCTACAGTGCTGGGAT